ATATATATATATATATATATATACACACACACACACACAAATTAGCCGGGCGTGGTGGTGCGCTCCTGTAATCCCAGCTACTCAGGAGGCTGAGGCAGGAGGATTGCTTGAACTCTGGAGGCGGAGGTTGCAGTGAGCCGAGATCATGCTGGGTGACAGAGCGAGACACCGCCCCGCCCCGCCCCTCCCCCGGCAAAAAAAAAATTACCACAGGCAGCTAGGATGACCCATCAATGTAAGAAGCAAGAAGTGGAGCAGCATTAGTTCACAAGTAAAAAAATAAAAAACACAACAGCCAACTTTTCTTAATACCATATACCTTTTAAAACACAGGTGGGTAATAAGTGGAAGAGAAGAATGTTTCTGTCTCTTCTACATTGACTGTTCTTATTCCACTGGTTTCTTTAACAGCACTGTTCTAAGCCTCTGTGGAAGAAAACTTCCCACAAGGCTGCACTAGCACATCAAGCCTTTGCTTTTACAGTCTTCTCTTGCCTATTACCATACCAGTGTGTGTATTCTCCATCTTTGGACTTGGATGGGTATTAAACTCTTCAGGCATAATTGACTCAACTAGAGTCAGTATGCTGTATTTATTCATGGTAGCTCTTAGGCATCTATCTCTGAAAGCGCAACTGGATGGAATTTAGTTTGCAGGAAAGACTTTGCTTTGTGCATATCAGACTTAGGACTGTGGGAGGTTTAAGTTGCAGACATTTTTTTTATTTTACTCTTGCTCTGCCCTTGTGTTTTGAAGGTTCTGATTTATAACTGCTATATCAGAGGAAACATTTTGACAGTGTCTTGTTGGAGATGAACATCCCCAATTGTCATGTCATGACTTTTTCTTATTTTATTCATGTAAAAGTCATTGAAATTTTGTTTTGCTTGTTTGTTTAGCTTTAAAGTCTTTGGTAAAGTCACATGTTAGGGATGACTGAAATAATTCTAAAGCAGTGATGCTGGAATAGTCTCTCTAAGGGAGAGAAATGCATTTGAACAAGTGTGGTATAAAACCATATAATCAAATAGAAATTTCAGGTACTTACAAAAATTGAGTTTATAAAATTACCTTCATTTCTTTGACATTAGTTGTTTATATTAACAATAAAGATGTTGACACTTTATCATAAAAAATAAACCAGTTTGCAGTAATATAAATATATATTTATTTATTTATAAATATATATTTATAAATAATCTAATAATATATTTTATTAGATTATATATATAAAATT